AAAAAAAAAAAAAAAAACAAGCAACAGACTTTTATTGCTGGGTAAACATCTTTTCTTTTTCTTATTTTTAGTACAGAGCAGATTTGGTACTTTGTGAACTGTTTTGGTGTAAGAAGGAAAGTAGAAAAAAGGACTAGAGATGAGGATACTATAAGAATTGGAACTCTGGCAAAAGAGGGGAAATGGAAACGGAGATGGGACAAAAATTTATATAGGTTCATTCTTTTTCTTTCTTTCTTTTTTTTTTTTTTAAGACAGAGTCTTCCTCTGTCACCCAGGCTGAAGTGCAGTGGTGCAATCTCGGCGGACTGCAACTTCTGCCTCCCAGGGTCAAACAATTCTCCTGCCTCAGCCTCCTGAGTAATTGGGATTAGAGGTATGCCCCACCATGCCTGGCTAAGTTTTGCATTTTTAGTAGAGATGAGGTGTCACCATGTTGGCCATGCTGGTCTCAAACTCCTGACCTCAGGTGATCCACCTACCTCAGCCTCCCAAAGTGCTGGAATTACAGGCAAGAGCCACTGCGCCTGGTAATTCACTCGTTTTCTTTCCTTTCACCAATACAGCTTACAGTACAGACGGAGGGAGGGCGGGACATGCAAAACCCAGGGCCCTTGAAAATGTTTTAATTTCTTTTAAAATCAGAAGAAATAATGATATGATCCAACTTGAATTAAATTTGCCTTTATAGCAACACTGCTATAAAAACAATTATTATTCTTTTTAACGGTAGGAGGGGTTCACAAAGATAAAAGTACGTAAGTCCCCTGAGAGTCAGAATGTGGTTCTGGAAATGACCTATATTAGATATTTAAGGAAAAATTACTGAGGACATCCTTGACAATTTATTTATTCTACCTGAACACTAGAGAATTCCACAAAAGCAACTGAATACGGTATTTGAGAAGTAATTCAATAAACTGAATGGAGCAAGCTAAGTGAAAAAAAAAAAAAAAAAAAGAAAGAAAAGAAAAAAAAAAAAAAAACAAAAAAAAAAAAAAAAAATGAAAAAAAAAAAAAAAAAAAGCCTGGGCCGATTACAGTGGCTCATGCCTGTAATCCTAGCACTTTGGGAAGCTGAAGCAGGCAGACTGCCTAAGCTCAGGAGTTTGAGACCAGCCTGGTGAAACCCCATCTCTACTAAAATACAAAAAATCAGCTGGGCGTGGTGGCAGGTGCCTGTAAGCCCAGCTACTCAGGATGTGGAGGTATGAGAATTGCTTGAACCCAGGAGGTGGAGGTTGCAGTGAGGAAAAACAAAAGAAAACAAACCAAAATGAGAGGCACACAATGATTTCAGATCATGTAATTATTGCATACATACATATATTTAACATGTTTAAAGAAATAAAAGAGATAACGAAGTATAAGTAGGAATAAGAAACCAAGCAGATACATATTTTTTAAAGCTTAAATATTATGAATAAACACATAACTAATAAAAACTCTTCAGGAGAACTGAAAATAGATTCAACACAACTGAAGAGCAAAGTTATTAATAGGTAAATAAAACTGAAAAATATCACCCAGAATTCAGCTCAGAATATCAAATACATTGAAAATACGAGAGAATCAGATATAAAGGGCAGTGAGGGAATAAAACCTTTTGGTTCAATGGGGAACCTTTTGGAAATCCTAGCATGGGAAAAGGTCAACATGGGTACTTCAACTATATCAGGAGGCTGTGTTCAAAGTATTAGTTAGCTGTTCAACCACATTCCAATACTGCTGCAAGTTCAAGAGAAACTAGGAAACAGCCACCAGAGGAGATGAGGTGACTCGTGGTCACAAGCCCCCCTCCCCACACAGGACTAGGGGGGTAAACTCTGGGCAACTCAGAGGAGAAATTAGGTGACTCATGGCCACAAGTCCTCTCCCCACGCAGGACTAGGGGACAACACTCAGCAACTCAGAATTACTTGGGGATATAAGCCCAGGCAGCCCCGGCCAGCAATGGCAGCCTACTCGGGTTTCCTTCCAGGATTTGATGGTATTAGGATACTGAGAGTGAAATGAAGGTGGGGCTAAAAACAGAGGGATTGGTTTAAAGTTAGTTTAAAAAGAAGTTAAGCTTAGGCAGGAGGATTGCTTGAGCCCAGGAGTTTGAGACTAGACTGGGCAACATGGCAAGACCTCATCTCCATAAAAAATTTAAAAATGGCCAGGTACAGTGGCTCACGCCTGTAATCCCAGCACTTTAGGAGGCTGAGGCGGGCGGATCACGTGGTCAAGAGACTGAGACCATCCTAGTCAACATGGTGGAACCCCGTCTCTACTAAAAATACAAAAATTAGCTGGGCTTGGTGGCGCACACCTACAGTTCCAGCTACTTGGGAGGCTGAGGCAGGAGAATTGCTTGAACCTGGGAGGCGGAGGTTG